AAGTGTTTTTCTTTGTGTTGATCTTTTGCTTTATTGGGTTCGGTGATTTCAAGAGAAATAGGATCGAATATCATCGGAGTAACAAGAGAACACAGAGCAGAGTAACGCTCCAGAAAGCAGAGAGTAAAAACAAACAAGTAATGGTCACCACACCTTGAGAAAGCAGCACGCGTCAAAGCGGGTGCGATTATCAACTGTATATTACCCAAGCAAATGTATACAACAATATTTATAATATATATTTATATATATTTGTATAGAAGCGTTTATACGAAGATCGTATAGTGGAGCTCAGGGACCAAAGATGGATCAATAGTATCAGATATTTACTGTGAGTTTCTTGCATGCCCAATAGCAGAAAAAAAAAAAAAAACAGTAATTATCTGATACTAATGATCCATCTTTGGTCCCTGAGCTCCACTATACGATCTTCGTATACACGCGTATACATATACATATATATATAAATATATATTATAAATATGTAGAAGTTAGCAGTACAAGGAGATATTATCACTGGGTAGGTGCAGACGCCCTTCACATGCCAACTCTTTTCATTTATTCTTTTCCCCTGGCATCGGCATCATTGGTTTGGCAACTGGGTTGTAGCGAGGGCTCCAAGCTACGCCCGGCCATCAGCTCTGCCACGACGACTCTTGCGCAAGACGAGAAACAGTGGAAGCACATTCTCTGCGTAGCTGGTGAGCCACGCTGCCTGTACTTCGTCGTTGGCGACCGTGACACTTGGTGTGAAGAGCCGTGCCATCGCGGTCATGCCAGTGCCGCCGGTTGCTGGGTTCAGCGCGTCCAGCAGGGAGGGGGACCCACCGGCACTGAGGACGACCGCCCCGCCAACGTGGGCGCGGGGGGGACTGTGGGTCCAATACAGCGGGACCAGCGCACCCGTCTTGCCGGCGCCGGTGTCCAGCTCAGCCACCCCGCCCCGCCACAGTTCCCAGTTGTCGCAGGGCGCAGCCACTCGGGACGGGTATGCCGCAAAAGAGGGCAGCCGGTCATCGCGCCCAGTCAAACCGCCGAGGCCGCAGAGTGTCTCGTTCGCATTATTCCTGTCGGTCCAGGCGCTCCGCAACAACCCATGGACGTCGCGGTACTCAGGGCACCGAAGTGCCAGGAGGCGTAACATCGATGCGTGCGCAATCTCGCATTTGCCATCGTTGGTTATATGATCTCCTTGACTTTCCTCCCCTGGGGCCACATTAAAGCATTGCACAGTGGTGTTGCGCATCACCTGGCACGCCTCACCGCCAGGACGGATAACTGTGTCAAGAAAGAGAGGGCGGTACTCTTGTCCGTACTTCATATCATACTTGTCATTGAGGTACATCCGCAACTTCTTACTCTCTGCAAGTGCATCGTCAATGACACGCTTCCAAAATGCATATGTAAAGAGAGAATTTTGCCGTTGCGTGGTTACGCAGTCATTGTAGAATTCCTTTACTGTTAACACCTTATCTCCAACCTTACGCATCCCGGCGTCCTTTATTTCTCCGGAATCCTCCTTGATTATTGATACACTCTCTTTTGGGAGCAGGAAGAGTTTGTTAGGACCGTGCGGTGTGTCTTCTGAATGCCAAAGTGCACGCACAACGAGATAGGGATCATTACTGTTATCTTCAGAAGTGATGATAAATTCGCGGGAAACTTCGAAGACACTTGCCAGTGTACCCAGATCCTTGGAAATGTAGGCGAGATATGAAAATACGGATTCCCGAAGCAGTTTGCACGTCGCGGCCATCTTCATCAAACTGCGTGCATCCATAAACTCCCATATCCGTTTTGCTGCACTGCCACCCATTATATTGAGTTCTTGGGCTACGTAATCAGTGGTAAAAACAACTTGCCCAATAATAGTGTTCCTTGTTGTCTCAGCATTACCATATGTAAAACCCACAATATCGCCAATAAGGGTGTTGTGGTTCAAGTGCTGCAAAATGTATCTTCTCATGTCTTTCATGCGATCTTGTAGGTCGGACAAACGTATTACCGCCTGCGGGAAATGAATGTGATATGATTTTTTTATTTTTCCCGTCACAACTGATTTACCTGAGCAGTTCAAAAGAAGCAACGACGATTTGGAACGATACCGATCCTTAAACCAGTTATAGATAAGATTTAAAATACCCAATTGGAAGACATCTCTGCCATCAAAGTCAATCACCAAATGGGTATCCTCTGTGATAATTTCATTCACAAAGGCAATGGACTTTCTGCCAAATGTAGAGAGAATTCGATTGAACAAAGCCGGGGCATCAATGGACGTTATATGTCGGTACGAGTATGCCACTCCCGTCGTAAAATGCGTTGCGAATGGCTTGTCTTGAATTCGGCTAAACGGCGTTAATGCAGAGTGACTCTGTTTGCCACAATCAAACTGAGGAACACAACACGCATACTCCACGGCGATATCTTCATCTATCAGGGATAGACAGTTGAACCTGTATAATTGCTCCAGAGTCTCACTCCTGGCATCAAGGTACGGGCAAGCACCCATCGCAATCCTTATCGGGTCGCGCTCACACTCAACATCGGGTGTATTGGCAATATTTGTTAAAAGGTTTGCAAAAAGGCAGCGAAGTAACCCTCGCACCGCATCAAGACCCTTCTTGCTCCGGTACACGGCACCCACAATTGCTTCCACCATGTCCGCTTTCACCTTGTATGGCAAGTCCTTATAGCAATTCCCCAATTTGGCACTCACCCGGTGAGGCAGGAGACGGGCAAGCACCTCATTGCAGCACACCTGCGTACAAACTTGATTGTTCCACGGCTTTCCCAAGAGAAAACTGTCAAATGACACCAGAAAATCCAACATGGCGTCCCCAATAAATTCCAAAATCTCGTAGCTCAGTGCCGTGTTCTCACACTCACATTCACGCGTTAACGCCTGCTGAAGAAGCCTCAGTTCTACTACATCTGTTAGCTTCAACTCCTCGGCAATGGACTGAACCTCTTCGAAGGTCCATTTACAACGCTTTCGTATTTCGTACACTTCTATCTCTTCTCCAACACAGTCCGTATGATCCAAATTGTCACCTGTGCCTGCGGTACCGCGGTACCGCTCTAACAAGAGACCAAGAGAAACAATCCACTTTTTGAATGCTTTGATATCATTTTGGCGATTGTAATAACCAATACCACTGTCGTTTTTCTTTGGAAAGGAGACCAATGTGGACCAAGCAGACGGGTCCTCAACCAAGTCCAATACCTGCCTCTCCGCAGCCTCCATGTTCAGCCTGATCTGCTTAACATCCACTGTAACCGATTCGAAAGATGATTCCACGCCCCACGAGGTGTCGACCTTATCATCATTTCCTGCGTCACGGTCGTTTCGGAAGATCCGTTGCCGTTCCTCAGGTGTAAATTTTCTCGGTTCTAGATGCGCCAGTGGCAAAAATAATGATATTTTGGGATCAAATTTATCTTCTTGAGAAAATGCGTGAGAATCCTCCCCCACACTTGGGCATTCCAATGTTGCCACACGACCCGTAAAGTAGTACGCGTCCACGGAGGGGGTGCCATCCTCAGGGTTACCATGTCTTCGTGGAAATACCTTCCACTGAGCTCCACAGCCACCACGAAGCGGAACCTCCAACACCTTCATCTGTTCACTTCGCACTGCCGCATGGAGACAAAACTCCAGGAAGAAGACAGGGCTTGTCCCACTCAACTTCTCATCGTACTGCTCGTCCAAAGGGGTTCGTCTTCGGTACTTGTCAAATTCAGAAAGTGATGCAGATGAGAACACCGAGAAAAAAGCTGTTTGGTACAACATGTATGATTCATCCCTAACTATCTTTTGAATCTCTTTCTGGTTTGCAACGGGAAACCAGGCATGAACAGGGCATGCGTCTGTCTTCTCCACCTCTTCAAATGCTGAAAAGGTCCGTTCATACAAAGGCTCCGTAACAGAATGGGCATAGAGGGCACGGGCGCACAACTGTCCCGAAAACGGACTATCCACCACTTCACAAACCCCAACCTGAAACCGCTGAAAGTGATCATGTTGCTCCAGGAGTTCCTGCAGTTCCTCTTCAGATGGTGGTTCTCCATATGTGGCCTTCCGATTCCGGGACAGCAGGCAACGGATTTCACGTAGTGGTACCCAGCAGTTACAACTCGTCACCTTATCGAGAAACCCACATTCAAATAAATCCTTGTACGGGGCTCGAAATCGCAGTATCGCCCGGATATCATGCATCCACATCTTCCAGTTGGGCTGAGAATACGATTCCCCCTTCATACTCCTTACTCGGTGAATATCATTTTGTAGTTTTTTGCCCTCTTCTACCACAATTCTGTAGTAGTCCCTTAGGCTCACTCCTTCTTTGCACAGCTCCTGTTTGTCTCCGTAGTGAACAGAGATAGTGTATCGCTCCGTTTTGTCAGCACCGTTGGTCCCATCAAGATTCTTCTTCACATACACATGACGTTTTTCGAGTTCCCCCAAAATCAGAGAAATTAGCTCATCAGGACCGAGCTTAGAGAACTCCATTCCAGGCCGAAGTGAACACAGAACAGCAGGCATGTCTATCGCATACTTCCCTCCCTCCAGTGCGAATTTAAACAGAGGAAGAAGGATGGAACTTGCCAAGCGAATTCCACCTGCCCACACCACAAGTGCCAAGAACGACATAAATGGCTTGCGGTGCGACAGGGCAGGGCCCAGATAGTGCATCAACGCAGGGTCAAAAAATTCTGATGAAATGAGTACACGCGTCACGTTGGTTAGTTTAGCAGTATCCCCAGTTGGGCAGAAAATATACGCATACTCTGATGCCAACGCCTTCGTGGTCTTTTCACCTACCAATGAGGCCATGGGAAGGCCATCGCGGTTCCGCAGTTCCGATGCATGGGGGGCTGAGTGGCGGAGAAGGGACTGCAGCTGCTCCGAAGCAATGAGATTTTGCACCTTTCTGAGATCATCAAGCAAAGATGACTCGCTGGGAAACCACGCACAGAGGACCTCACTTACAGTACCTTCACCAGGATGCGTGATCAGTGTAGCAAGGCATTCAGAAGATAATTCCAACACACCACAATCTCCTTCCATTATGTTTTAACCTTTTATTTTTTCCCCTTTGGTTATAGTTCCCCCAAGGGAAAAACAGCAATAACACGTATAAATTGTTTGTAAATATATGTGTCTGTATGTGATAAGAATATTGTTGACGGAACCAAGGGGAAAAAAAGAAAAAATAACACAAATATCCGAAGAGAGGGAGACACATCTCGAAAACGAAAGCAGATAATGTGTATAGAAACAGCAAGAACGAGAAACAAGTAGAGAGGGGGTAAATCACTGAGACAAACTTGTCTCTTAGGCACGGGATAGAGCTCAAGGAGAAAGGAAGACCTGTTCCACGAGCGGTGGCAACTCCGCTGCGACACTCCATGTCACACGATGTTGAGCCACATTCACCGTGGCGTTATCGCCGTTACCGAGCAATCCCTCCTGTTGCTGAAGCTTCAGTGCCCTTCCCCAGTAGTTTTCGGCAAAGGAATGCGCTGCAGCATTGTAGGCGCGGGCCTCCTCTGCAAAAAGAAGAGCCAGCCGCTCCAGTACATCTCTGCATATATTTTCAACAGTATCACCTATGGTTTTATTCCCTTGTTCACCTGATTGGGTGCCTTTTCCCGTCATCTGCCCCTGTGCGGACATCTCCAACACAAAGAACAACCATTCCACGCACTCTTGCCAATCGGCAAACTGCTGCTGCTGCGCCCAACGGTCCATGACGAGAAATAGTTCAGTAGGTACAGCAGTATCAGCCGTGGTGCTTTTCAATTGCCGCAGATAGCAAAGAATGGTGAGCGCCTCCCTGGCCAATTCGGGGCGCTGCAGTGCTGCGGCCATAACCGTATCATCTAAGAGGAAAAGACACCGTCGACGGACCCGCAAGATGTTTTCCTTCATTTTTCACACTACAGGAGAGAGAAAGAGAGTCCCACAACCGCTCCCAAGTGAGATCAATACAGCTGCCGCATACGTACAGGGGCGAAGCCAAACAAAGAGGAAGGATGGAAGGATAGAGAGAGAGAGAGAGAGACAGAGGGAGTAAGAGACATGAAAACACATACACACAGAGAGAGAGAGAGAGTATACACTTAATTAACACAGTATAATTGGGCGACAGGCAGGCCCAGCCGCTTGGGAGGAGAGGGCATGTGTGTAAGTGTACATATATATGTGCGTGTGTGAGGGAGAGAGGGAATACAAGACACTCAACTTCACTCGTCCTTTATTTTATCCTTTTCTCAACTACATAACCGACGCCAAAACTCCAAATCCACAGTACCGGACGCTTCGTCGCCACTTCCCTCTACCAACTCCAACACACTGACTGGAGACTCACTCCTCTTGCTACTGCTCATGCTTCCACCATCACACATCCCTGCAGGAGACACAGTTCCACACCTCTCCTGCAACACGTCAGGGTACCAGGAGGAGCCGGAGCGCCGTGAACTCCTTTCCACGCCACTGCCTGGTGCTACTGCTGTTACCGCTGCTGGATCAGCAGGACCACTGCCGAGACCTTCTATCGAGCTGGTCGCAAGCAAAGACGCCACGACATCTACAGTTTGACCATCACACGGTGCCTGCTGTAGGGCTTGAGATAGTGTACGCAAGCCCTCGGAGTTTATTTTGTCAATTAGTGACCACTCGTGGAAGATGGCGGCACACAGCAGGTGATGCTCAAGTCCTGCAGCAACGCGCAGCAAAAGCGTCTTCATGTCTGGCGCTGGCGATAGCGACGCCCCAATCGCCACGATATGCACAAGGTTCACAGCACCAAATGGTGTTCGAAGCTGCTGTGCATCATCCAGAAAACGGGCGAGTTCCAACACCTCCGCCACGGGTGTCAGCACCACGCGGACCGGTAGACACTGCAACTCACGCGTTAAGGCCTCCACGGCGATGAGGGGAGAGGCGGCGACGAGTTCCGCCGCTGTTTGTGCCCGCGCGAGTGTGGATCCCGCCACAGCCGCACGACGTATGGCAGACTCACCGTACTGCAGAAGACTCATCACTTGTGCCGTTGACAGTGCGAGTGCCGCCGCGCGTTGCTGGCGTGCAGACCACTGCGTGAAGAAGTCATGCAGCGCGGTGTACATTGCACGCGGGTCGTTGTGAAAGGACGGGAGTTGAGGATGCCGCAGCAGCGTACGGCTCATGCAGCGGGCAATGAGGCGAAGGTGCTCGCAAGAGACATCGTCGCTCCTTGCGTCGCTAACCCCAGTTGCAGCAGCATCAACAGATGGAAGAGGTATATTAACATTCACTGCCGGCGGCGCCAATGACGCCACCAAGCTGTCGCCGTCCGGCATAATGACTTGCCACACTCTACTACTATTTTTTTCTTTTCTTGCACTCTCACCACACAGTCAAAACGAATGAAAAAAATACAATTGGGAGTTAGACAGACATGCCGAGAAAAAGAGAGGAAGAGAGAAGCAAATTTGTATAAAATAGAGAGGCTATTCTTTCTGTTGTACCCACAAGGTAAACGAAGAAAAATACAGAGGAGAAGAAACGCAAAGAGAGGAGACGGTACACCCACGCATAGCGTTTGGATACACATACATACAACACACAAGCATACCAGAAAAGAAAGGAACACATCCAGCCGAGTGTCACAAGTCTATCATCAAAGAAAAAAATATATTTGATTTGATAGCAGCACAAGAAACGAGAAAAAAAATAAGAAAACAAAACGCAATACTCTACGCACTCCTAACGGCAGCATCACGAGTGCCAAAGCCACCGAAAATTCCACTGTTACAATTACTAGCACTAGACAGCTTCTGTACGAGGACATTTACCCACTTGGAAGCACATTACAGCTGGACACAGCATCAACAAAGAAATAAGGAGAAAAACAGTTCACTAATTTTTTAAATACCTTTACCGTATTTTTTTTGTTCTGCTACCCATCATAATATCAACCCAACCCCACTATCATCCCGACATCCCTCTTTCCCTCAAACATTCCTAATTCATTAAATCTTCCTTCCCCTCCTACCCCTTCAATAATTCTTGTCCCTCACTTACACGGCCACCAGAACTCATCAAACGCGTTGGGGTACGTGTAGTGGTACACAAAAGTCTTGCGGTACTTAATCTCTCGCCCACGGGAGTCCTTGTACACACCCAACTCCAGCTCCACGTTACGCCACTCACGCGCGAAGCGGCGTACCCGGTCAACACGTGTCTCACCAGGAATACGTTTCTTTACGTGCGCGTTGATGTCTTCGTGCAGAGGGTCCCACTGCGGGCTTGGCTGACGAACAAATTTCCCACGCGAGGGCGTCGAAATGACCCTGCTGACATCCCTAGCAATTACCGCTGAGCCTACTAATGACGCCGAACAGTGCGAAAAGCGCTGCATTACGTTAGTTATATATACGAGTGAATGAACTGTGGTGTTTCTGTTTCTTGTGGTGCACTTTATCTTTTTGTGTGCCTGTTTACCTTCCCATGCAAAATGATTCACGCACCGCGTTCTTTGCATGACGCAAAGTGCGAGAAAAAAAGACCAAAGATGGAAAAAAAAGGAATCGAAGGTGAGGCGTTGTGTCGCACAGCATGTCAGAGGAGTGGGCACAATATATATAAATATATAAATATCAACATGTGTGGGTGTCCCTTTTCTTATTATGCATCTCCTGCCACCCTGCCACTCCCACGCGTTGCGGAACACAAATGCGTCCAGCACCACAGCACTCATCAGGGAATACGGAGTGTGCAGAGTGACCCCAGCAGTCNTGGGTTGTTGTGGTTCTTCTTGATTTATATTTTCCTCATTATTATTGGTGTCATCATCATTATTATTATTTCTCTCTCGTTTGTTGTTGTTGTTGTTGTTGTTGTTGTTTTGTTCTCTTTCCTCATTCTCTTCCTTTTCTTCATCTTTTTCTTTTAATTTTTCTTCATCATCTATTTCTCGAAGACTTCCAGAGTGTGGTACAGATTCTGAGAGTCCAAACATACGAACAAATTCAATAGCCTTTCTCTTGGATCTTGAGGAAAGCCAATAAGCGTGTGCTGCAATTGATACAATCAGCAGAGTTATTGCGATAATAAGAATCACCAAGAGATTACGCTGGGCTTGCGTAGTATCTGGTTCTTCAACTGTTGATGTTGCTGGATATTTTTTCGTATCTACACACTCACTGGCAGTACAGTTAAGATCAAAAACAAGAGCGAGGTCAGCCAGTGTCAATTGACATTTTTTTGTTTGCAGATTACACACATACTTTATACTATTTTTAATATTTGGTAAAATTGATTCATTAAGCACTGTTTTTGAGCAAAAAGGAACATACTTCGCTGGTGGGTCTTTAGCACACAAACATTGCGTATGTTTACATTCGTACAAAACTATCATGTTTGAATGCTTTGGACGCATGCTTACGAACATAATAGTAATAAATAGTAATGTGGAAAGTACTAGTGTAGTACCCAAACCTACCACAATTTTTGCTGTTCGATGACGACCAAGTTTAGATGAGATACACCGTAGCATAGCTAGTAATGCACAAAGGGTGACAAGCACTACCTGTCCTGTTATCATGAGTCCTTTAAACACTTTACTTAACTTTGAATTGTAATTATCATTTTCATTTTTAGATTCTTCTGAGACTTGCATAGAACACGGTGATGAAATGCATCGAAAAAATTTATCTACATATTCTTCATTTGGCTCTATACGGAACAAATCCATAGAACATTCACCACTAGCACCATTGATAAAAGAATCATCATTTCCTGTAGAACAGTTAAATATGACCCGAGCCTCAATATCGCGACCTCCACCCATAAGATTAACAAAAAAAGGGGAGTCAAGAGCACATTCAAACTGTTTATTTGTTCCTCGGATTACGAGACTATGATTACACTCATTAGCATAACGACTACGCTTAGAACACACTCCATCGCGTTGACACAACTCGCAACTCAAACCGGAAAAACCGTTCGTCGCGGCACACTGGCAAACATCACCTTTCCCAGTCACCGGAACACCTCCATTCATACACGTCTCCTCATCCTCTACCTCCTCCTCCAATTTGTAAATGCCATGAGCAGCCGTGACTGCGCTCAGCGGCGTAGACAAACCTCGTGGCCATAAGAACTCCGCAAACGGATCAACGGTGCCATACCCACCAGGAACCACACTATCACCATACACCGGCTGAGGAAGCGTTAAAGCTCCAGCAAACCACAAGGCCGTTAGAAGGAACCAATACTTTGAAAGAACGTACATATTACAAAAACAAGAAAAAAACCTAATTTACCAATTCACAAACACAAACGAAAAAAAAAGCACACATATATAAAAAAAACCCCTCAAAGAGAAAAAAAACAAACAAACAAACACAAACACACACACAAAAAAAAAACGACAAATTAAACCAAGAAAATGATCACATAACTATAACATTAACCCTGTTTTAAAATTAAAAGCATATTAAATACAACATGAAAACATACTAAGAAAAAATACATTATCACAGTACTACGGTTAGCACCCTGCATCAAACATCACAGTTGTGTGTGGGGTGGAGGTGGGGGTCGAGCAAAACGGAGGGATAACCAAGGGTGCGTGTGGATGGACTCCGACCTGAAGAGAGTGAGGGGGTGGGGTGGAGTTGGAAAAAGACACCCTCCGTGGGGCTCGAACCCACGACCACACGGTTAAGAGCCGTGCGCTCTACCGACTGAGCTAGAAGGGCCGTGCCAAAAACAACACCATCAAACAACAATAATGTCGACATCACAGCAGACACAACACATGCAAACAAACAAAACAACAAACAGCAGTCTTGCCTTCCTTCCCTCCTCCTCTCCTTCAGAACATCCCTCCAAACAGCTGCAATGAGGGAGGGAGGAGGGCTCAGGGGCTCTTCCTGAAGTAGACCCCTTTAACGGTGCATCCGTTGTCGTATGCTAGGATCATAATACACCAAAACAAAACAAATACACCGACAGCAACCCTTCAAACTGCAGGCCTCCGCCGCAATTGGGTGTTGTACATACAGGCAGTCCATCATCATTGCACAGCATCTCTCTCTCTACCATGCCATGTCATGCTAGTGTCCAAGTACCACGATAACATGATTCCTCACTCTACGGCAAAAAAAGAGGGAAATGAAAAAGAGAATCACAGAGAAGGTTCCCCTCATTTTAACCATGGCCTTCTTTTTCTTCATGCACATCCTATTCTACAGGGCTTGTTGTTGTTGTTCAGTCCATACAAACATTAGTGTTAACAATTATATAGATATTAACTGCAAAAACACAGCACTCGCCACATCGTCAAAAAAGATAATAAAAAAAAAAAGCCAGTTCCAATTAATTCCTAAAAATGTTTTTTTTTTCCTCACCACCCTTTTTCTTCTTTGCTCCCTAAATTAGTGTTCGTCCAATTATTTACTCGTTCGCTTACTCATTCAGGTACCCTGTTTCGTTTGGCATGGGGAGTTTTTCCCTTCCCTCTCCCTTCCACTCATTTGTTCAGAGATGCCATATCAATAACAAAACGGTACTTCACATCACTCTTAATCACCCGTTCGTATGCAGTGTTGATATAATCGATGTTTATCTTTTCGATTTCTGACACGATGCCGTGCTTACCACAGAAGTCAAGCATTTCCTGCGTTTCTGCAATTCCACCGATGACTGAACCTGCCACTGATTTTCGGCCCATGATCAACAGGAATGGTGGCACCGGAGGGTGATTACCTGCTGGTGCACCCACCAAAGTATGCACACCATCTGTCTTGAGGGCAAGAATGTACGGCGACAGATCATGCGGTGCCCCAACAGTGTCAAGAATGTAGTTGAGTGTGCCTTTCACGGCCTCCATCTGCTTTGGGTCCTTGGAGAGGACAACGTGGTCTGCACCAAGCTTCTTGGCGGACTCCTTTTTGTTTTCCGTGGTGGTAAACACCGTCACATCCGCGCCCATCGCCTTTGCGATTTTCACTGCCATGTGGCCAAGACCACCGAGCCCAACAACACCAACCTTTGTTCCGGCCTTCACGCCCCAGTGATGCAGCGGCGAGTACGTCGTGATGCCAGCACACAGCAGTGGCGCAGCAGCGGCGAGGTCAAGATTGGAGGGCACACGCAGGACGAAGTCTTCATTGGTCACTATGTGGTCAGAGTATCCGCCCTGAGTAACATCCTTACCGTCGCGGGTGCGTGAATTGTATGTCCCGGTGTTTCCTTCCAGACAATACTGCTCAAGACCCTTCTTGCACTCCTCACACGTCCGGCACGAGTCCACCATGCAGCCCACACCAACTGTGTCACCGACCTTGAATTTCTTTACGTTAGCACCGACGGCCGTGACATGCCCAACAATCTCGTGACCAGGAACCATGGGAAATAGGCCAGCCGCCCACTCATCCCGTACTTGGTGGATGTCGCTGTGACAAACGCCACAGTACGCAATTTTGATGCTCACGTCATTGGGCCCCACGGCGCGCCGCTGGAAAGCGTACGGTCCAAGAGGAGCTTTGGCCGACAGAGCCGCGTATCCCTTTGCAGGTGTCGCCATCTTTTATGTTGCTTGTATTTAAAAGTGTTTTTCTTTGTGTCGCTCCTTTGCTTTATTGGGTTTGGTGATTAGAAGAGAAATAGGATCGAATATCATCGGAGTAACAAGAGAACAGAGAGCAGAGTAACGCCACAGAAAGCAGAGAGTAAAAACAAACAAGTAATGATCACCACACCTTGAGAAAGCAGTACGCGTCAAAGCGGGTGCGATTATCAACTGTATATTACCCAAGCAAATGTTTACATCATTATTTATAAACAAATATCCCTTGTGAAGCCGGTCATCTTGGTGTGGTGCCAGGGTTTGGTATCCCAAAAAGAGGAAAGTCAAGAGTCTGCTATTGGTCCCTGTGACTCGTTGCAGGTTTTTGCTGACGGCGGAGGGGTCGGTGGTAGTGCCCTGTTTGGGAGGTCTGTGACGCATGTAGTTGTTTTTCCATTCCACAGCTGTGCGGGATGTAGAATTGAGCGTGGTGGAATAAGGCGGCACCGACCACATACCAAAACAAAGAAAGGTTCAATACACATGCAGCAAACGTCACTGCCAGCATTTCCCATTGGCGCCTCGCGAGCGGATGCGTTAGAGGAAGCACGGCCCACCTCTCTCAGGGATTGTTCTCATGAGAAGCGTGGAGTACCAGCTAAAATTGTGCAGCAGAGGGTCTGATGTGGCTCTGCGTGCACGAGCGATATTCCCAGACTCACACACAATACACAATGCCCTCCGTCTCGTAAGTGATAAATACAAATGCATTGATGGATACGATATTCCCCACACAGCTTCTTCACTACCTTATCTCAAGAGAGTATTTTTCAACACCTCCCCCACCCCACCAGGAGGGCTCAAGGCGGATGCCGAGTATGAAGACAAGAAACCGGCTTCTCTTGCCAGAGCCCAATCCAAAGCTCACATCTCATACACCCCATGAGCAGAAGGCTCAGTCCAACAAAACTCAGGGACTGGTTGCTCACCACTCCTTTTAAAGAAGCAAGAACCAATACACTCCATTAGAAGTGTCGGGAGCGCTCTGGCGTGCAGCCATCGTGCAGAATGTTTGGCCTATAGAGACCGGCCCTAACGACACCGCTCTCCTACTTTTCTAGGATCGTAGGCGTCTGGTAGTAGCAGTGCTTACTGACTCACTGTCACTCCCACCTGCCATTGAAACTGGGTCCACTAGAGCGAGGGTGGAGTCCTCCGCAGATTATGAGACGCAATCATCCTCCCACAACCACGGAAGGTTCGCCCATCCCTTCACTTCATATTTGGACACACCAGAGTTCCTCAAAACGAACTTGCGGACAAATCTGCGAAAGAAGTCATGGCACCCCGCCTTTCCCCAAAACGTCCCAGCATAGACTACGGACGTTCTTACGACAATTCATCGATACCGCGTCCAACAACAGAATGCTGAGAACCCCACATTGGAAAAAAACAGAGAGACAACGGCGAGTAAATAAACTAAAAACACACCTCGCAACTCCAACACCCGGGGTGGGAGAAAGCATACCCCAACCAAGTTCTGCACAAACGCCTCTAGGCACGTTGGCTGGGTCCACAGAATCGTCACGAAAGACACTGACCCATCATGCCGCTGGTGTAGACAGCACAACCACACCCCCCTCCAAGCATAAATCCGACACCATCACAGAGCACCACTCTCAAACGACAAACTCCCAACCGCACATTGTCGCACCCCTCGCCATCAGATCAGACCGACCATTACTCTGCCCCACTGGCTATGTGGCACACAAACAAATGGCAAACGCTAGAAGCCATATGCAGATGCACCACCACCCGTAACCGCGGCACAATCCGTGCAAATGGCTAAACAGGTCTCAGCAATCCCCCCAGAAGGCTGCGAAACCATTCTGTCATCAATGTCGCTTCCGAACAGATGATCGAGGGGAGTTTGGCAAGCAGACAACGATCACGCACCTTCCGGATCCCACTACAATGGAATCAGATAACGTCCAAAAAACACTTTCACGAGCATCGCCGCCGTACTTCCCTCCTCCATCGCTATAGGTACTCCCAATACAGAAACACACAACCAAGTGCCAACTCGATGGGCAAATGCCGACATTACCAGATGCTGCAAATAAAGAAAACTCCCACATTTGGCGTTACGGATGACTCAACAAGGACCCAATAACCATACCGCGAAAAAGACTATCGCGTCATGTGGGCAGTCACACACCAAGGCGCTACACCCAGATAAACCTGTCCCGCTGCTCCCTTACCATGTGCCCAGAAACAAGCGGTTCCAACAACACAACACCAGGGAAGGAAGAGTGGCCTGCTCCGTTTGCGTGGAAACCCTGTGCGGCATCGTGGCCTCAACGACTGTCGCTCTATTTTTGCCTCGAAAGTAACCCCCAATGTTCACATTGGGATAATTTACGATAAGAGTACAAAAATGGGAGCTTCATCAACGCGGTTCCGTCACGGTATATGCGAGGAAATCCTGGAACGTATTCTTACCTACCGCACCCTCTATGATCATCGAATGAGGTTCGGTCTTGAAGGAGTGAAAATACCCGACCTACAGTTTCGCATGCAGCTGTCCAGGTTTTCTTGTGAGCCACTCGGACTCCCTGACCCCGCCTCACAGCTACCCTGCAATGTAGCGATAGTTGACCCAGACACAGCCACGGATAAATTGTCTGTTGGTTCTATTGCTTCTGTAGGTTCTGGTTTATTGATTTAAATCCAGCAACTCTGCCTCGGCTTGCAGTCAACCTCATGACAGATAACAATGGGGGTGGGGGGATCTCCAGGAAACATGGCAGGTCTTCTGATCTCACACCTCCAGGACCACGCCTCCTGCGGGAGTGACGAAATCCAATCTCCACACCTTCCCAGGAAGGATAAGGAGACAAACAGCACACCATCAACAGTTTTGGATGTAGCTACAAGTACAGAGAAACAATGATTACACTGGTATATGTATATATATGAGTGAATGAAGTGTGGTGTTTCTGTTTCTTGTGGTGCACTTTATCTTTTTGTGTGCCTGTTTACCTTCCCATGCAAGATGATTCACGCACCGCGTTCTTTGCATGACGCAAAGTGCGAGAAAAAATAGCAAAGATGAAAAAAAAGGAATCGAAGGTGAGGCGTTGTGTCGCACAGCATGTCAGAGGAGTGGGCACAATATATACAAATATATAAATACGCATGATCCACAAAAATATCAACACGTGTGGGTGTCCCTTTTCTTATTATGCATCTCCTGCCACCCTGCCACTCCCACGCGTTGCGGAACACAAATGCGTCCAGCACCACAGCACTCATCAGGGAATACGGAGTGTGCAGAGTGACCCCAGCAGTCCCACGCCATGCTCCCAGAGGCGTCGTGAGAGAAAAAGGAAAGCAAGAAAAAGAAAAGGAAGAGAGAGGTATAAATAGCCCATTCCACAAATAATCCGAGAGCACTCCTCCACCTGCCATGGGCAAAACAAGCCTCAGCAGATTAATGAAATAAGCCACAGAAAAAAGGGGCAGAGCCATTCGCCTCCATTCGTCTCCTTGGTTGAGCTCGTTGTGGGCTCTACACAATCCGGCATTTCTACCCTGAGCTGCCTGAGCGCATATGCTGTGTGGGCGGAGAAAACACCCGAGCCAAGCAAGGTGGAGATATAACAGAGGAACGCGACAAACAAACAAACAACCGAAGGTCTAAGAAGCCAAGACCCGAGCGCCAATTAATTGATGGGACAGATGCTCTCCAAGATGTTGCACGGTGCACAAACAACAGCAGGTTAAAACATAAACGCAAGAACCCATCCACCAACAAAAGAACTCCAATCCTCCACACACCCCTTCCGTTCTTTCTTTCTCCCTCGCTTCATGTATGTGCAAGGGACCAGCACAAATAGAAAGCAAAAAACCACAGCAAGCACAACGACAACAACGAAAGAAATTTCCACAGTACTACGGTTAGCACCCTGCATCAAACATCACAGTTGTGTGTGGGGTGGAGGTGGGGGTCGAGCAAAACGGAGGGATAACCAAGGGTGCGTGTGGATGGACTCCGACCTGAAGAGAGTGAGGGGGTGGGGTGGAGTGGGAAAAAGGCACCCTCCGTGGGGCTCGAACCCACGACCACACGGTTAAGAGCCGTGCGCTCTACCGACTGAGCTAGAAGGGCCGTGCCAAAAACAACACCATCACACAACAATAATGTCGACACAGCCAGACACAACACATGCAAACAAACAAAACAACAAACAGCAGTCTTGCCTTCCTTCCCTCCCTCCCTCCTTCAGAACATCCCTCCAAACAGCTGCAATGAGGGAGGGAGGAGGGCTCAGGGGCTCTTCCTGAAGTGGACCCCCTTGACGGTGCATCCGTTGTCGTATGCTAGGATCATAATACACCAAAACAAAACAAATACACCGACAGCAACCCTTCAAACTGCAGGCCTCCGCCGCAATTGGGTGTTGTACATACAGGCAGTCCATCATCATTGCACAGCATCTCTCATTCTCTTATATATATGCATTTATTTATATATATAGTTGAAGGATCAGGAAAAAAAATCCTGCGACAATGTCAAGAAATAGTAAAAGATATAAGACATAGTCATTTAATGAGTGAGATGAAGAAGTAGTGATTCATAATTTGGGTACACAAGGGCAGTACCGCCGTGTTGTGGGGTATGTTGCGCTGCAGTTGGGTATACTACGCTGATCATGCAGGTAGTTGTAGCGACATATTAATTTTTCACTGCTGTTTGCGTTCTTCTCCGAGTTTTTCCCTTTCTTCCGTATTTTAGCATCTTTATTACTATTATTATTCTCATTATCATCATCATCATCAGTATTGTCGTTGTTTTTGTTACCTGTTATATTTTCCAGTGCAGGAAAGTCATTGCCAGGATGAGGTCGCCAGTAGACACCCAACTCGCATTTGCTGCAACCAAATACTAACTTCAATTCGTCACAATCATTCAGTGAACTAAATTGCAATGCTTCGTGGCTGCAGCGAAGTCCTTCCTCTGAACAGACAGCATCGCATGAGAGGCCGTAGGTGTTGCTTGCAATTTTCCGCATATACGGTAGCGTGCGATTTCTCCGCTTCCTTTCTGCAGTCGATAAGAGTTGTACATACGAAGCATTGCTATGCCTCTGCATCCATACATGTGTTAGTGGAGAGATGGGAATATCACCTTCAGAGTTTTCTCCACCACTACGATTGTGAGTATTATCATTGTTGCCATTACCATTTTTACGTACGTTACTAGCGTCATCTGCGGTGTTCGTTGAGTGATGTCCAACAGCGAACGGGATTCCGTCGACCACTAAATGGTTTGATTCCACTGCGTGTCCCTCATTCTGCATTTCCAGTGCCTTACTGTAGTACGCACTCTTTTTATGAACCTCTTCCTCATATAGTGTCCACCAGTGGAGGTAAGTAAAGCCATACTCTTTCTTACCTAGTTCCTTGTGCCGGTTAGGGAGTCGTTTATCAAACCACGGCTTCACGATTCCGCGTAAATGCACGGCAAAAATGGGCCGTGTTTCCCCTGGTGGTGGACGGTCTAAGCGATAGCGTGGATTAAGGTTGCGGCTGTATGCATTGGATATAGGTGTGTAGTGTGACTGGAAAACGTGGCGGAGGAGGGCACCATCACGTGCAGAGCCGCCAACGAAACGATATCCGTCCGGCGGTGTGCCGCTGCGGTAGGCTTCGTACACGCAGTCGAACACAGCGGGGGCGGGTATGAAGACGAGCATGCCGGTCTGGAAGTACCCGTGGCCGCCAATAGCTCCGACTCGCCGTGGCCCCCGAAGACGTGGGCTGGAAAACAGTCCGTCCATACTACGCAGAGCGATCATATCGGCATCCATAAACACCAACTTCCCGTACATGCTAAGGTTAAACATGTACAGTTTATCAAAGGTATCGCGGAATGTCGCCTTCGCACTCACACGGGCGGCGAGCGAGGGAACCTCAAAGACGTGGTCGTATGTCCCTTCCAGATGCAGACGACGCCGCGATGCTTTACTCACTCGACCGCTTGTGATAAGCACAACGAGATCGGCTACCCGTTTTTGCAGGAATAACGAGGTACGGCGCAGCGATACACCAAGCACCAGAGCACCATCAACAAACTCCTCATTGGAGATACATGTGAGGTACGCAACGGGTGCAAACGACTTGTTCTGTAGAGCCGCCGGTGGGATGCCAACAGGTGCCGGTGGACACGCTTCTTCTCCCCACTGCCAAGTCATGCGTTCGTCAAGGTTGAAATCTTTTTCTCGCTTGTATCCGAGCTCCAGCAATCGCTGTAGTGTGGAAGAGGCATTTGATGATGTAGCGATTGCCTTATCATCCACTTCTATTTTTATTTTTCCTTCTTCTGCTCCTGTGTTCTTGACAGGCGCATTCAACATATAATGCTTATCATCATTTTCCCTTTCTGCGGCTACCGCAGAAAGATGGGTGGCTGAATTTGATGTTGCTGAAGGCCGTTGTTCCACCGTGAAGAGGGCAGCATGCAGCAGGTACAACCACAAAGTCAGAACAACTAATAACAACAGCAGCAACACAAATAGCAGTGACGACTTTCTTCGCCGCCGATAGACTCTTTGCATCTTCAGCGACTGATTTTATTATTATTATTGTGAATATGTATATACAGAAAGGGAAAGTAAGAGAAAAAGAAGTAGAGAAAGAACTGCATCCCTTTTTTTTTCTCTTTGAAAAAGGGTATACGAAAAGAGATAAAAAAAAAACATCGACAACAGTGACACATCAGAAAAAAAAAATGAAAAAAAAAAAAACAACAAATAACAGCAATAGCAATAATGAGAGAAGGAATCCAACAATAATAAAATAAGAAAAATAACACGAGGAAAAAAAAAGGAGGGGGTTAATACAGAATCTGGTATCTTTCATCCCATATAACCCTATCATGTGATCGCTTTACATCACATGCAGAGTTAGACTCCCTCCCCTCCTTTTTTTTTCTCTCTCTCTCTCCCTCTCTCCCTCTCCCTCGCTTGTTTCAGTATTATGTACTATTTTACCAGTCATTGTCATCTGCACACCCGTCTCCTGCTAATCCATCCCATCGACCCATACGACCTTTCTTATGCTTTTCTTTGTGTTTCCCAAGACGTTGATCATTTTTGTAATCATCACGTGAAAGCCCTAGTGCGGGATTTTTCATCACTTTCTGCCTATCGGTTCTGTCACCTTTACGGCGTCCCTTCTTATCCACTATCTGAGGATGACTGTTACCCTTGCCCCTGCTCCTGTTCCTGCTGCCACTGCCGCTGCAGTTCTCTACTTCTTCACCTTCAAGATTTTGAAGATTCTTTTCCACTCTACGTGCCAATGCTTCCTCTGGTGTGAGTTCCATCTTTGCGATTTCTTCTCCAGGTAGGGCTTCATTAGGCGGTTCTACTTTAAACAGAACCTTCGCCACGTTAACATCATTATTACGTGTACCAACACCTAAAAATGTACGGGCACACCAGCTTGGGTACTCCTCACGGTACATTTTCATCCAATCACGTTTCCCTTCACTTCGGGAAAGGGTGAATTCCAGTGTTCGCCGCGCCTTATTCTTTTGCTCATCCCCCACTTTCACCTCATCTCCCCAAACAAGTCGGTGATATTGTGCGTTCCAGTAGCGTTGCAGCAGCCGTGTTCCTGTGGAGCTGTGCTGCAGTGTGGATCGCACATCACGACAGAGTGTGTGAAGAATACAGACCGTACGCGGTGGACTGAAGGCAGCGATGAGTTCCCACGCGAAGAGCCAATCGCGAAGCGACTGTTGCTGTTTCACCTGCTGCTTTTCGTTTTTCTTCTTTTTACTCTCAATACTGCTATTTTTCTTCTCAGTACCAACAATTATCGTACCACTCATTTTGATTTTCTTTACCTGCTCCCTCTCTTTTTCTTTTTCTTTCTTTTTTTTAAATAGAGGAGCAGAAGAAACAAACTAAATATCAAATAGAAAACAGAAATCAATAAATCGCCGATTAAAAGAAGAAAAAAAAATAACTTTTCTTTTTCCCCCCTTTAAAGACTTAATACAAAATCCTGATGCTCTAATTTGTTGGTGCCCACAGTCTACCTTAAGATGTTTTTTTTTTTTTTGTTGTTGTATGTTGTGTTTATAGAATACATGGCAACGTAGATGGAGATAGATAGAGAGAGAGATAGAGTCACTATAGACATAGGAAGTAACATCAATAGAACCATGGTACATGCAAGAGACACCTATCACATTATATGAAAGAGAAATAATAATAATGAATAATAATAATAATATGAAGGAAAATAAAAGAAATCAAATCAACGTTATGAAGATAAAAAAGAGACAGAGATAACTGTCACCACCGATATCCAGCACACAAAATGTACACATACATACAAGTGTCCATTGATGTTATTGTTTTTTTTTTTTTTTTCTTTTTGTTTTCAATTACCCTCTACACCTACATCACACCATTTTCCATCAAAATGCCTAAACACGATGATAAATAAGAAGATAGTAGTAAACAAATAACCTCTACAATTCATGTGTGTACAATAATGGAAACACTCCATGGTACTAGAGTTATCAAACTCTTTTTTTTTTTTAAATTGTCCTCGTGATCTCCTTTCATTTCCTTCGTCTTCTTTTCCCTTTACTTCTCTTCAATTTTTTTTTTCTCCGGCCCTATAACTTTTCGCACCAAATCAAACACTATCACAGAGAGATATATATTCGCTCAATATACCAAATAGAACAAAACAACAAGAACAACAACAATGTCTTTATCCGTTGGTTTGTGTTGAGTCCCATATCCATCACTAGCACCTCTTAAAAATAGCAATTAAATATAAACAAGCGTCGAGGTTTCTTCCACACAAATAGATATTCACACACACACACACGCACGCACGCAAGCACAAACAAAGAAACAAATAAACAGATATATGCACTTACTGTCCCTTTCTTCATGGTTGTCCACAGTTAAGGATGAGTGTTGCCATCATACTGTCCACGTACTGCATGCGCTGCGCGGCGAGTGTGCGGAGTTGATCCATTTGCACATCCGTACTGCGCGCCAATTCCGCGTTTTCCGCATCTGCGCCTGTGAGTTGTTGTTGTCTGTAAGTCTCGTACTCCTGCTGCTTCTCGCGGCGGAATGCGGCCACCTCCTCTTCTGCGTCTGCCTTCGCCTGACGGACTTTTGCCTGTTTGCGGGCCTTCGCATCGGCGATGATGGCATTGCGCTTCTGCTCGGCCGCCAACAGTCGCTGCACGTTATCTTGCTTGGGACCCATTAAAGACTCTAGTGATCACCGGCTTTCCTTCTTCTTCTTCTATTATTATTACTACTACTCTGTTACGAATGAGACGTTGGGTTAGTTTCGTGTCTCTTTTATTTTATTTTATTTTTCTTTGTTTGTTTTTTCTCTCCTTTCCGTTTGGTTTCACTCCGCAGAATAAGGGAAAAATAAGATTATATATATATATATATATATATATATATATATAGAGAGAGAGAGAGAGAGAGAGAAAGAGAGAGCAAGTGAGTCAAATATCACAAATAAGAAAAAAAACAACAACATCATTATAGACCCATATCTCAAGTAAGAGGAACCAATATTTAGGAGTACTAGTGAATAATAATAATAATAATAATAATAATAATAATAATAATAATAATAATAATAATAATAAAGTGAATCTCCAATAATCACGCAAAACAGATAGTGGCAAAAACAATAAAAAGTACATGCATAATGCAGTATATGACATAAACAAAAATGTAATTTAAAAATATTTTATCAATAGCGCAACACTGTTTGTACTCAAGAGGAGACAACATAAAAAAAAAAAAAGCAATAGACAAAAAAAAAACCTAAAAAAAGATATTTTTAAAACAATGTATGTTTAGCGGAGCATATGATGCTACACGGATAGAATAAACTCTACAGAAAAACTGTTCTCAAATGTATTAAAACTATCAAAAGCACAAGCAAGGAAATATAATAATAATAATGATAAAAGACACGATTCTAGATTCCAGTTACCTTTTTTTTTCTCTCTCTCTCTCTCTCTCATTCTGCACTCTCACGTTAGTACTTCGTATTTTCTTCATCCCATCCCAAAGCACACATCATCCATCATCTCCATTCCCCCAGAAACAATATATGTATACAAACTTCATCCTTACAAAAAAAAAAAAAAAACAATGCCGTTACCGACGATACGAAAGATCATACTGTTCCTGCTTTCGCCGTCGCTGTTGTTGTTGTTGTTGTGGTTGTTGTTGTTTCCTTGAGAATAAAGGTGGAAGCCCAACAACTCCTGTGCGTTCAAGGGAACAGGGTGCCATTCTACGTGTTACTAGGCGTTGGTGCATAGGTTTAACGATGGAATTCCCTCCTCTTACATATGGTTGTTCATATTCACTCATTAGCTCCTCTGTATCCTTATCGTATACATTCTCACTTACGTTTTCTGCAGTTACGTTACTACCGTTCCTCAACCCATCATGAGATAGATGTTTTGTGGTATACATAGACACTGTAGGACATTGTGGAAGTGCAAAGGACATATGAGGTGTCTTTAATCTGGGGATCACGCTATTACCTGAGGCATTGCCTGTCCCAGTGGAAAGGCGAGATTCATCTCTCCTTTCTTTTGCTTTTAGCTGCAGCAGTGAGGTTTGTCGGCTATACCGCCGACATCGAGGTAAGCTGCAGTACATCAACCCATCGCCTCCTCTCATCTGCAGCCGCTGCCCTTGTTCCCCCTGTTCCTGTCCCTCTCCCTCTCCCTCTTGTTGTTGTTGTTTTAGTTGTTGCTCCTCTTCTTGCAGTTGCTCCTTCTTCTTCTGCATGTAATCAATAAACGTTGCCCACTGCGCGACGGTGGTGCTTTCACCACACATGAGCCGATAGGGTTGCACGCCTGAGCGGCGCATGGCGGCGGTGTTCTCCGCGTTGAGGCTGCGGCCGGCGGCGAGGACCCCGAGCGGCGCCCCGTCGGAGGACCACAACATCACCCGCCGGTCCGCCATCGCGGCGATGAGGAGCGGGAGGCGCAACTCGGGGTGTTCGGCCGCCGCCAGCCGCACAACTTCACAGCCCGGGCAGCGCCAGGCGGTGATGCGCAGCGGAAGACGACGTCCCCCACAAAACTCAACATCCACGAGAGGATTAGTACTAATAGTAGTAGTAATAGTAGTATTAATATTATTAATATTAGTATGGTTAGTATGGTTAGTGGGGGTGGGATGGGGGCTTAAGAGTGCAAGGATGCCGGAGACATCCCATAGGCAAATCTCTCCCGTATCGTCTGCCGTTACGAGCACCTGCTGGCGGTCAAAGTACGCGATAAGAACAGCATTCGATGGCGCCGTTTGCAGAGAAAGCGCATCGTCCGTATCTGTGAAAGGCATTACATGGTTTGGATCCTCCTTTTTCTCTTTTTGTACTTCTTCTCCATATGAATGTTGTTGTAGTGGATGATTGTGATAATGATGATGACGATGAGAATGATGAGAATGAGAATGATGATGTTGATGTGGTTCATCCCCTGGGAATAAGAAATCCAAAGATGTACTGCGGGTTCGTGGACGACGGCAATACTCACCGGTGCCACGTTGTACTTTTGCCCGTCCTTGTGCCATTATCCAGCTGTGAGGTTTGCGTGGACACCAACTGCCTATTTCCTCACATGATGTGTACATCGCTTCTTTGCTCCTTCGTCTGAGTAAATCTTCAAATGGGCGTTCACCGTGAATGGGGGAACTCCGATGCATGAGTACTATATGCACACGACCTGTTACATCTGAAAAGAAAGCAACTTCATTACCAACTGAAGAAATGGGCGTGTTATTATTTAAATCTTCATCATGTCCATTATTAGTTGTAACTATCACGGTTCGTGCAATAATAGTTTCCACTTCTGCAGAGAGAGAAAATGTGTGTGTGTGGGTGACCAAACCTTGATATTCTACAACATGTACACAAGCATCAGATGTAGCTAGAAGAAGTCGAGTTTCCGTTACAGATGTAGCCCTAATTATTTGTTGTTGTCGCATGAAGCTACGTAGTATACCATGGAAATGTGTCACTGATTGTGAACCACAGTCTGGTTTAAGAGGAACCATAAATATTTCATATTGTGTTACAACGAATACGTGTGGTATAGAGATATCACGGTACTTTGAAACAGTATGAAGATTAATAACTTCTTCACCATGAAGGTGCATTTGAAGAGCAGGTGTAAGATTAATAGTCTCTTGTAACATGGATACGGATAACGCTTTTACTTCACCTCCAATAGTTCCTATAAGTAACTGTCTATTAAGTGGTTCAACAATACAAGATGCTGACACATCATATTTAATAATATTTGGTTCAGTAACATCTGTTAATAAACCAGTTATACTATTCCATAGTTTAACACATCGATCATGTACGGTAATAATAGAATCTGGATTAGGGAAAAAGAGAAATCGACAACTATGTCGATCATCCGTAAGTTCAGGACGTACAAAGGCATCTGAACTAAGCACAATTAATTCTCTAGAGGTTGCAATATTTAACTTTCCAACCATATCAAGATGACATATACTATTTACATGTGCAGCACGGTATGCAGATAAACCTGGTTCCAATTCTGGTAGTCCATCATCTAAATTAACGGTAGAAAGTGCATTCATATTTCCACTACCATGAATAGTTTGTACACAGTATCCCATACGAAGATCCCAAAATTTCAGAGTTCCACGAGTATCACCAGAAACTAAAAGTGGAAGACCGTGAAGACGATGAAGTACCGTAATACGTCCCCTATGTGGTTGTACATGATCGCAAAAATGTACTGGAGGTGTTCGCGGCACTACTAAAGATCGTTGTACAATACTCCGTCCAAATCCTGAAGAGTATAAATAGTGATCATCACATTCAAGAATCAACGCTCCACCAGAGTCATGACCATTACCAGAATCATGATCATTAAGGGAAAATTGTACCACACCATGTTCAATATCAAAACACTTGACAGCGTTTTGGGTATCTAGACTAGCTATATAAAGATATTTTTTATAAGTTCGCATGGCAGTTACAGCAGTTTGAAAAAGTCGTTTTTGTACAACGTAGACTTGTCTTTCCAAATCACATAATGAAACCATTCCGGTACGGCTTCCCATTGCAAGGAGATTACAAGAAGAGACCCAGTGTAGTACACTTTGAGTTTCCGACATACGCATACTATGACAATTCTCAAGGATACCATCATATCGTTTCTTTTTTAAACTGAAAAAACGTAAATAACTATCATTATAAGTGCAGACAATGGAGTTAGAAAATGGTATCTCTCTCACCAGGGGAACATAATCCCATGCAAGGAGTGAGCATGGAAACCTTTTAATAGCAGCAACAGATAATAAATTTTGCCTTGGATCACACATATGCACCGTACTCAAACCACTATTTTCAGTAACAACTTTAATAACTCTTTTATTTTTCGGCAATACTCGTATACTACTTACCTGACTTCCATGTCCATTTTTTAAAACTTGTCGAATATGAAAAGGACGGAATAAAATTTCCTCCTGCTGTTTCTCCCCTGCCACTCCATATAAACGATGGCGTAAAAAGTCAACAGCATGTCTTAAGAAGGCATTCCACGAAATACGACCAACACCGAAAACATCCACAGCAGCGAAAAACTTTCGAATTTGCACATCCGTAGGTATAGTAGAGGTGTTATGTTCCATGCAGACACGAGTGATAACATCAATGAACCCTTCCTCATCTAAACCTTCACTCCCTTGATAGAGAAAGAATTCATGTTTAAGGGTATCCAGAGCCACTGTGGAGAGTTCCCGGAGAGCGTCCATGATTTCACAGGAACCCTGTGAAGGGGAAGCGCAAAAAGAAGAAAAAAGGTGCAATAACACCTTTTCTCACACTCACCCGTCACCACTAACTAGAAAATATCATAAAAAAAAAAATAATAATAATATCGAGAGAGTAAAAAATAAGAGAAAAGAAAAGAAGGATGTTTTTAGAGAAAGAAGTGAGAGGAATTCATTGTACCAAGAAACTCTTTAGAATCCATAATAATATGAGGGTGTACTCACCCAACTGTGTAAAAGAAAAAAAAAGTTTTACTCACAAATATAAATACAGAAATATAACGGAAAAGAGTCAGAAAACAACAACAACAAGGGAACGTTATTCAGAGTATATGAAGAGAAATTACTGTAAACGAAATACTTACCGAAATTCTCATCCTCTTTTTTTTTTTTGTCTTTCTTTCTCTCTCTCTCTCTCTCTCTCTCTCTCTCTCTCTCTCTTCGTTTCATAATCTCACTGACAATCAAACATTACTCTACCAGAACAATAACATGAATAGAGCATATGTCATCCAGAATGTCATCACCATCATAAAAGCGAAAACCAGTGCAGCTTCTTTATAACCCACAACCTCCACTGACTCCTCATTCTCAACAATATACCCCAATTGACGTAGTTTGTAGTTCATATACACAACATGATACACACCCCATGGACACACTGCTCGAGTTCCATCTGGATAAGTGTCAATACGTTCTATTGCACGTCGAGCTCTCGGATCTACTGGCGGGTCTGCACCATCCAAAACCATTTGATACGCCATGCGGGATTCCACCGGATCACGCTGAATAATACCATCAAACTTACTTCCATCCGTTGCCACTGGTCGAAGTCCCAAAAAGGGAAATACACGCTTCAATAGGTGCTGCTGTTTAGCCAAACGTGAGCCTGACTGAAATGGCAATCTTCCATCTTCACAAAGAACCCTATCAAAGTTTTGTGCCAGGTTATCACCATCCAGTACACGCCTAAAATAACTTGGAACGGCCAGGTTAGGAATTGGGTACAGTGTTACCTCCTTATTGGTTTCAGGATGTTTGTACCTTCGGATAATGCAAACAAGCCCTGGTGGATTCTGTCGCATTTCCATGATACCTTTTGTCATTAACATAGCAGACTTACCCTTGACACCTTCCATAATTGCTTTTCTTTTCTTTTTTTTTCTTTTCTCCCTTTGGCTTTGTTTTCCTCTTTAGTGCTTATATGCGACAAGATTCCTTTTTTTTTTTCAATGAGGATAGACATGAGAAAATAATAATAATAAAATATGAAAAAACAAACAAACAAAACAACTATTTTCTTAATCCATACCTACCAAAAACTAATTTTCTGTGATATCAGAAATTACTTTGAAAGTTCAAATCTCTTTCTCTTAACGAGCAAGTTTCACCGCAGTCGTGTGCATGTGAAGAAGAGTGGGTCGCCGAGACGGTACGAAAGTGTCGTTATGGGCACCTCCACATCTACAGTACCACTACGCCGAAGCGGAAATACAAATGAATCCCCAGAAACAACTTGACGAAATTCGACAGTGGCTACTGTGCCCAGAGTCGCATTGCCCTCCACACTCACAGAACCAGTAAATAACTTCACTAGGTACACTGCAGTAGAATCATCACTTGACCAAAACCGACCTCCCTGTGACTTTCCAACCACGTCCAGCGTCTTTTTTATAGCACCAGTTTGGTCTGTTTCCGATATTGTCACAAAAGCATTGTCCACATCCAAACGCACTTTCTGCAGAAGGACAGCTGCAACATCAGCCGCAGTGGTATCAGGCCACACCGTCAAGACAGTAGTAGGATGCGCAGCAGCAGCAGCAGCAGCGGATACCGATGGTGTTACACAAGCAATGCCAACAGACGGCACCTGAAGTACTGCACTACACATTTCACTTTGTGTTGCTAGATCATCAGAGAGAAAACGGTATGCCCTAACAGCAGTCGGACACACTCTACTCCGTTCGACAACAACATCTGTTCCACTACGCACCTGATTTACAGGGGGCACAAACAGCGGTTCACAGTTTCCATGATAAACCATTGCCAGAACTTACTACTTTAAGAAAAAAAATAAAAAAGAAACGATGTCAGAGAGAAACATATGACAGTAAAATATTTTAAAACCATGAAAGAAAGTTCACAAGGTTTCCATGGGCGGTCCCACGCATTAAGCATCAATGAAAGCCCAGCGCGTTCTTTTTGGCCATGTGCTTGCAGCTGTACATCTGCCCGCACAGTTAACGTGCGGTGAAGAGGAAAGAAGAGAGGTGGAAAGGGATGGAGAGGGGTGTGCGGGTCAGTTGCCAGTAGTCAAAGCGTCGTCTCTCGCTCACGTGGATCGGCATTGCAGAACACAGAATAGCATCATTGTACAGGTCACAGGGGGCGGCGTGGCGGCAGTCAGACACGGGGGACACGGATCCACATCAAGGCATACGGTTCAACTAGTTTTGACTCATAGACGTCCTGTTTGTAATCACGCCGCCGCCACACAGTGGGATTGCAGAAGGAAAGCAAAAAAAAAAAAACAAGGAAACAGAGAGAGAGAGAGAAGGGGAAGCAGGTCCTCATTGATCTTGGTTGGTTAAACTGTCGTTGAGGTCATCTCGTCGGATCGCCTGTAGCAAAGATGTTTGTTATAATCAGCGGACAGCAGTGTCGTGTTGAGCCGCGTAACGTCATTAGATGTAATGTTCGCCGGAGAGAACAGGGGAAGAGCATGCCCCTGCGCCCAGAGCTGCAGAGTGCAAAGCAACCTACTCTGTGAGTCGTCTCATGTGTGATCTTTGCTACATTTCGGAGGGAGACAAAAGAAGAGAAAATAAGAAAACCGGGAGGAGGATCCAAGACAAACTGAGGCAGAGAGGAATATAGTAGCACAAGAGAAGATCGTACAGACTCACGTGGCATACAACAACAACAAAAAGGTGTCACACAGCTACGTTGTCAAATCATTTCGATTATTAGAAAGCGGAAATATAAAGAAAGAAAATAGTTCGAACGTTCGAAAACGGAAAAAAGAGTAAAACAAGATGTAAAAACAGTGAAATCAATTAGTAACGCGTCATAAGAAAGGTAAAAGAAAAACATGGGACTAAGTCTCACGAGAAGGTCTGTTGTCCGCCACTTTCACCTGAAGAAATACGTCAAAAAAGGTGACTTTATAGGAACAAAAAAAAACCCATTGGTCTCGTGGTCTCGCAGTACAGCACTGAGAGAACCATAAATATATATATGTAGAGAGAGAAATGAAAAAAAGACATACAGTAACGATATCGCACCAGAAGAACAAAAAAAAAAAAGTTAAAACAAAGAAAAAAATCGTTACATCAAAAATAAAAAAATTGAAAAAAAAATTTATTTATCATTCACGTTTTTTGCATAAATATCTCTAAATCCTACAAACAATGAGTTAAAATCCCCGTATTTCCGGGGCATAATATGTGTGCCTAGAGGTGGGTCTACGCACCAGAAAGCATAGTACTGTGTTGACAACGTTGATAGTACAGTGAAAAACGTTATGCTCACAAAAATGGAAGCGAACGAAAGTGCTCATCGACAAAAAAGAAAAATAAACGCAGGTAAAAGTACGTTATAGAATTACATTTGAAAAAAAAATATATCTACTCTGAATTATGAACGATCAAATTACAACAACACGTGGGATGAGAGGGGATAAAAAAGAAGCTTGGCATCAGTACCACAAAGAACCTCCCAGCACCGTAAAAATACTCAAGAAAAAAAAAAACGAATTCAGCTCGAGACGTTCAACAAAGAAAAATAAATCTTATCACACTACTTGAGTCAGACATGGACACACAGAGTCCAAGAACCACGTGAGAAAAACAAGGGAAAAAGAGTGGAAAATGCTACAGGGTTTTCTGTAGCAGCCAATATAAACACACACACACACACACACACACACACAGAACATATATGTAAGGTGCACGTCAAGGGGCTTTCTATATACCCGCGCTGGCAGCAGCAATTATGAAAAGACGGTGATTACTGGACGCGTCTGCTGAGTCCATTAGAGTAGCCCGTGGTCGACACTGCCGCCGCCGCTTGCACTTGACGCGGCGTCCAACATGCGGAGGGCGTCGGCTGTGGGGTCGGCAGCGGGAGACGGGGCATGCGGGACGGCGGGCAGCGGGTTCGACGGGGCGGCCGCGTAGTCACTAGCGGTCTCGCGCCGCGGCGGGGCGGGCGGGCGGTACGACGACGCGTCGGTCTTGCTGAAGGCCTGCGATGACGCGCCGTCGCCATATCCCTGCCCGTCGCTGTCGCTCTCCGCATCGGCGTTCAGCATCGCCTCCAGCGCACCCCGCCGTGGCTCGCGCAGCTCCTGCCAGTAGTGGGTCTCCACGTACCACATCACACCGCTGTACACCGCAATCCCGAGCAGCACGAACATCAGCAGCAGCACAATCGCCGCGTAAGCCCTCACACCACCGTCGTTAGGCGAGACGTAGTTTGCCGCGTTGATCACGCAGAGCACCGCCAGAAGCACGAAACTCACCGTGTGCATCACCGTCAGGAACGCAGAGCGCATCATGTTCGTAAAGGTCAATACTGCCGCACCCACAAGCAGCACCGCCGCCATGCAGAAGTACGGAATGTGACACCTGTCCACCGGCGGCTGCACAGCAGCAATCACTCCCACAACGCAGAGCACCACCAATCGGAACACACACCAGTACACATAACTGCCCTTCATGCTTGTAAAAATGCTCCCAAACATCTGCACCTGCGCCGGCGGACACCAGTACCCAACGGGATACAGCCATCGCTCGTGAATCGGTTTCTTCGAGAACTGCCAGTACTTTGTGAAGCTCGCACCGGTGTAGTGCGCAATGAAGTAGCAGGTGGCGACAGGAAAGGCCACACCATACAGCACGCCAATCACCCCGATAACGTAGTGCTGTGGATGCGCATCAGGCATTGCCAGCATGAAGATAGAGCCCACAAAGATACCAAGGTGCATTAGGTACGCCACGAGGTACGTCAGGCTTGGGAAACGCATCGCCGCCCGCGCGCTCATCGTCTCCACACCTCGCCACCGCTCAAATGCCACTGTCAGTCCGTAATGCACGCATCCAAACACCACGGTAATCAACGCGTTACCCACCACCATCCACAGTGGACCAAGACTGGCAAACACCGACAAAAAGTATGGCAGCGCCACGGAACTTTCACGCTCGTGCTCCGACGCACAGGACATCTTCGCAAACGCACCGAGTGTCTGTATCTCCAGAATCGAGCCGAGTCCACCAG